CAGCATGGTCTCGCAGTAGCGATGCGCCGCCAGCGTGGATGTCCGGGGGTTGTCCACGTGCTGCCGCAGGAACTTCTCATAGCGGGTCTCGCCCGCCGCCCCTGCCAGCGCTGCCAGCACCAGGGTCATGCACAGCACCCAGCCCGCCATGGAAACCTGGGGAAGGTGAGGTTAGGGCCATCTGGACCCCTGGGCCCCTAGCTGGAAATCCCACCCTGGGGGCTTGGTTATTCTACAAATTCCCCCTCTGAAATCCATGGGTCCCATACAATTCCCCTCCCAATGTGTGGGGGCCCATCTCTGGAGAGCTGAGCTCTCTGTGGATCTCACCTGGATGCATGGGTCCCCTAAAGTTTTGCACTCCCCAGAAGCCTCAGCCCTGCATGGAACACCCCCTACCTGCTCCTCAGACCTCTGGTTCCCCTATAGATCTAGCCCATGCCCCAATACCCGGATGCCATACTCAGCCTCCCTTCCCCACTGCATGCTTGGGTTCCTCACAGACCCCTCCCACAGACATTCTGGTCCCGATGCACCCCTCACCCGCACCTGTGTGTGCGCCTCGGTTTCCCTTATGTCCTCAAGGTCTCCAGGATCCCTCCCACTCCTCTGCACCTCTTTTATACTGGCCCCAGCTGTGCCCAATGGGCAAGGATCCAGGAGGAGGGGCAGGGTAAAGGGCAAGGTCCAGTGGATGTCTGGGGAAAACCAGGTATCCAGGAGGCCCCATTCGCTCTCATGGCCTCCAAGGTCATTAGGCAGTCATTAACAAACCACGTGACTGTCTGCGTGCATCCCCTTAGGTGGCCCCTGCCCACTCTGGCCTTGGCCAGTGGTCCCATGAAAGGCAGGATACCTGGGACCTTTTGGGTTGCAGAGTGAGATACGTGGTTCCCTGGTGGGCAGCAGGATGTCACCATCGCCTCTGGGGCAGCTGGCAGATGTTACTACAACTCTTGAAAGATGTGGCACATCTGTGGCTGTTCTGCAGTGCTAAGGGTATTTGTTCCTTTTCACTGTGTCCCCTTGCAGGCAAATTCATACTCCTGGGAAGTGCCTGGATGCACTTTTCCTCACTGCTACCTCCCATGCTCCCAGCTGCTCCATTGATGCAGAGACAAAGCAAAGAGCCAGGAGCCAGCCTGAGTCCATCAAAACTCCAACTCCTTTCCCTTGACCATCATAATGGAGCCCCAAGGAAAGCACGTCCCCTCCAGAGGGAGAGGCACGCAGTGCCCAGGAGAGGCTCTCATGAATGGGTGCTAGTGGTCTCCATCCTCCTCTTCTGACATCAGAGAGACTCTGATGGGGAGTGGCAAAGAGAGAATGAGCACCTTTCCCAAAAGAGTTGTAACACTTCCAAGACTTGCCACAGTGAAGGTGCAGAGGGTTCTGCCCTGGCTCTGGTGGAATTTCTACATTTCTTCTGAAGAAATCCTCCTCAAAGGTGCACAGTCCCTACAGTGGGAACAGCTCAGGCATCTGGTCAAAACCTCACAGACATGGAAAGTTAGCACAGCCCCCTGCCTGCTCCTGGGCATGGAAGGAGGATGGGGTCTGTAATCATGACCCCTCAGACACACTCTGCTTTCCACTGTCCTGGTGTGGGTGGAAAAGCGATGATGTCCACAGGAGCAGGAACAAGCCTGGATGCTTGGCAGTGGGCTGTCTCTAGCTGGCATGGTGCAGGTACCTGTGCTGGATCCCATCCTACCCGGCAGAGCTCAGGCATATCGTGAACAGAGGTTGCTGTGAGACGCATTGGTGAACCACAGCCTGTGGTCACCTCTTGTCCCAGGGGACTCCCAACTGCCTGGCGCTGTCCTGGGCACCGCTTCTCCATGTCCCATCCCTGCCCACGCAGGAGGTGCTGAGCGGAGCCTCCTCCTGCCCTGTGCGGTGGGGAGAGGAGCCATCGGCCGAGGCATTTGGGGCAGCCCAGACCACCAGCTTCTGGTTGTCCTCTCGGTGCCCCAAGGCCTGGGAGAGCTGCCGATTTTAGCAGCTCTCTAAACACAGAGTCTAGTTTAGGAAGGAGACACGGTTTATTCTGCACGGGATGCAAGGTGGAGGTTTGACAAATCAAACACACCACGGGGTAAAAAGTTACATCTTTTACACAGTAAAATTTACATGAGCCCGCCTGTCTAATGCGTATTCCTCATCGATCGGTCCATATTTATTTGTATGACGTACTCTTACGGGATGCTTGAAATACAAAGTTCATCAAACAACTTCAATTGCAGAAAATACCAGACGACGTCACTTACCTTTACAAAAGGTGACAAGATTCAGTCTGGGGACAAATAATTCAGCTTGAAGACATCAGAATGGGCAGGAGGTGACACCTGCCTTTCGCCCGGGCACAGTCGGTGTAGCGAACCTCGTCCCTGTGGTTCTGCCCGCCCGCACAGCGGCCCCACTAGGGCATCCCTATTTGCAGCGCTGCGCCGCGCTCTGGCCAGGAGTCCCGGGCCGGGGCACAGGGATCGGGCGTCCCGGGCCGGGGCACAGGGATCGGGAGTCCCGGGCCGGGGCACAGGGATCGGGAGTCCCGGGCCGGGGCACAGGGATCGGGCGTCCCGGGCCGGGCGCTCCGCAGGGCTCCAGGCGGGGGCGCTCACGGGCACGGGCTCCCCCCGCCCCCCCNGGGGCGCCGGGCGGGGCGCCGCGGCGGCGGGATGCCGGGGATGCGGGGCGGATGGCGGCGGCGGCCCGGCCGGAGCAGGGCAGATGCTGTCATGGCGTCAGCGGGTGTGGGCCCGGCGGGGCGGGAGCAGCGGCGGGCATTCGGAGAGGAAGGTTTTACTGCAGCCCGGCCTGAGAAAGTCGTTTAAAAAAAGTCTTCATTTGATTTAAGGGTCGACCCTTTCTCCAAGAAGGACTGGTACGATGTCAAAGCACCGGCGATGTTCAATATCCGAAACATCGGGAAGACGCTTGTCACCAGGACTCAAGGAACTAGTGAGTACTTGGGGTTGCTGCAGTACAGGGGATTGTGTTTGCTCCGTGTGCTGCCTCCAAGCGGTTAAAGAACTTTTTGGACAATAAACTGCTGAAAATGGCTTTTGCTTGTACTGATATGAACTTGGAAGCTAAAAAAGTTGGATGAAAAAAAGTTTGAGTGTTTTTATTTTATTTTTTTTTTAATTGACCGAGTTGTTTGAATAAATGAGCTTAGCTGCAGGGAAATTCATACACTGGCCCCTTGTTTGTACAAGAAAGCCAAACCATGGAAGGAAGGGCCTGAAGTTTCTAATGAGCTTCTCTTGTGGTAACCTGGCCAGTTAGGAAAAGTTGAAGAAGTAAGCAGTAGTTCTGATTGTCACAGGGAGATGTGTGACAGTGCCACAGGAGACCTTAGTCTTAATGAGATTGTAACGTCAAAACACTAAAATCTGAGATTGGAAGATTTTGGGTGAAGGTAAGAGGTGGAATTGCTGACTTAATGTGAGCACTGCTGTATCACTGGAGAGCAACTTTGGTTTTATGTGATCTGGATATATGGTGTCTGGATAGAGGTAATTGTATTTTTGGAAGCTTAGCCATGCAGAATGGTCAAGTAGCTTTATGATACTCTGCTGGTTGCACTCACTGTTAGGATGATGATTGTTTGACTTGTAACATGTGAAACAAATAAAATGAGGGTCACTGCCAAACGAAGTGTGAACCAGCCAGTTTTGTTAAAATGGTTCCTTGTTGGAGGAGGAGCTATGAAATTATTGTGCTGGCCTGTTCATGGCTGCATCATCTCTGCTGAGCACTTGTGCCATTTTATGTTTAGTTTTTTCATTACTGTTCATAATTTCCAAATACTCTGTAACCCCTTTATGCTTGAAACAAACCAAATTATTACACGTGGTGGAATCTGCTGTATGCTGCTGTTCATATCCCACACCTGATACTATCACCTTAAAAAGATTCCTCCCAAAGGGAGGAATTTGCACCCTTGCTGGTTCTGTGAGAACGGGATTCCAGTGGGAATTCAGTGTCTGATATGAAGGATGTGCTTCTAATGTTAATCTAAGGTGTTTTATTCTGTTCCATCACCCAGAAATTGCCTCTGACGGGCTGAAGGGCCGCGTGTTTGAAGTAAGCCTGGCTGATCTGCAGAATGATGAGGTTGCCTTCCGCAAATTTAAACTGATCACTGAGGACGTTCAGGGCAAAAATTGTCTGACCAACTTCCATGGGATGGACCTCACACGGGACAAAATGTGCTCCATGGTCAAAAAATGGCAGGTGTGTAAGAAACAAGGTCTGTGTCGCTGCCTGTGCCTTCAGGGAGGGAGGGAAGCGCTGGTGCCTGGCAAAGCCGCGTTTGAAGCGGCATCAGACGGCGTTGGGGGTGTGGGGCTGGGCAGCCTGTCTGCTGTGTGGGTGGTAAAGGTTCAGTGCTTCCTCTTTCAGACAATGATTGAAGCCCACGTGGATGTCAAAACTACGGATGGGTACCTGCTGCGCCTCTTCTGCGTGGGCTTCACCAAGAAGCGCAATAACCAAATCCGCAAGACTTCCTATGCCCAGCACCAGCAGGTCCGGCAGATCCGCAAGAAAATGATGGAAATCATGACCCGGGAGGTGCAGACCAATGACCTGAAGGAAGTTGTCAATAAGCTGTAAGCTTTGGCCCTGTTATTTTTTTCTCCCCTGCAGTTTAAATTGTTACTTGGGGGTTGGTTGTTGCTGAGTGCCTGGGGAATGCTGGGGCATCCCAAGCTGTTTGTCAGAGACCAGGCAAGGAGCCCCTCGTGTGGAAAAGCAAATTACCCTTTTCTGCAAGTGTTTCCTCTTAGTCTCTGCATTGTGTCTGACCTCAGTCTGCTGTCATGTTTGCATAAATGTAAATCACACTGCAGAAGATTAGTGGTTCACATTTCTGCAAACTGAAATTGTAATTCTGATCTGTTGGGACTGTGAATGTTCCGAGCTCTTCTGATAGAAGAGTTTTTCAAAGTGTGCTGATTGCTTCCAAAAGTTTGCAGATTTGCTCTCAAAATGAGCACACTTGCACTACGTCCCTTCTAACATTGAAGGGTGGTGTCTTAGAACCTAACTGTACTTGAAGAAAATTGTCAAAGCGATGGCGTAAACTTTTGTAGAGTATTTAGTATTCTTAAGGGGTTTTTTTAAAGCCTGTGTTAGTGCTGCAGAAGCAGGTGGAGTTTTTAGCATTGTGGTGCTCTGTGATTTCCCAGGATCCCAGACAGCATTGGCAAGGACATCGAGAAGGCCTGCCAGTCCATTTACCCTCTGCACGACGTCTATGTCCGCAAGGTGAAGATGCTCAAGAAGCCCAAGTTTGAATGTAAGTGTGTTACTGCAGACATTTGGAGGAGGGTGTGGAAAGGAGTTAAATTGATTTGCTTTTGGATAAAGATGTTACAGCAGCATCAATGAGCTTAAGTAGTTGTAGAAGGGAGATAGCGTGTCCTTGTTGCCACGTGTGCCTCGCAGGATTGAGAGCCAAGCAGTGAGCGTTCAGTTTGAAGCTGCTTGAATTCTCGCCTGGAATGCTGCTGAGGGTTGAAGAGCTTTGCTTTGGGAATGAATGATGACAAAATGTTTCGGTCCCAGATGATGTGGAATGATTCCATTTCACCTTTTTCTGACATTCCCATGTAATGCAGCAGTAGGTTCCTGAGTTCAGATCCTTTTAGAAAAAAGGTGTGGTTTGTAGTTTGATTGCATAGCCTTACTTCACTGCTTGTTTCTGTCTGACTGTCATTGCAGCAGCATATCTGCAGGAGCTGTCTGCAATGGACTTAGTCCTACCTACAGAAAACGTTCTGCTTTCCATTCTGAAATGGTGGTTTCACTTGTGTAATGAGGAGTAATTGAGTAATTTAAAATGGTTTTAACAGGTCAATCTCTCACTGTTTCTGTCACTGCTTCTTTTTAGTGGGCAAGCTGATGGAGCTGCATGGTGAAGGTGGTGGTGCTGGAAAGCCCTCTGGGGATGAGGCAGGCACTAAGGTAGAGCGAGCTGATGGATATGAGCCGCCTGTGCAAGAGTCTGTGTGAAACTAAAAATTGGTGGAAAAATAAAAGGTTTTAATATACAGAACTAATGCTTGGTTGCCTGTATTACTACTGGACAATATTGGTACTGGATGTGTGGATGAGTTTTCAATAAGGTAAACTTACGGTCTTGGTTTAAAAAAAAAATTAAAGTACTCATATACTTCTCCAGTTGTGTTGTGGAGATGGGTGGAAGAAGGTGGGTTGTCCTTTTTGTGGATTCTCTATGTTGGTTTTTTCCCAGTAATTTTAGTCCTCACCCAAAAAACCTTGTGTATGTGTGCAGAGGTTGTATTGGTGAGAGGTGCCTCAGAGAGTACAGGGAAGGCAGAAGTTGCACAGGGAAACCTGTGTCAGAATTTGGTATTATTGGGAAGTCTTGCAGCTTTATCCATATGACTTGCTTCAGAATAATGTGCCTATGTTTAAATTTGGTAATTTTATGCAACCTTTCATGGGATTGGTGTGGTCTCTGGTGGTCAGAAGGTGTTTGAAGGTGTTAAAGTTGTAATTACGATGATGGGAGCAGCGTTAATTTTGAGCAGTGCAGAAATCCAGAACGTGCTTGAGCAGTGGGGTTGGGTGTTAGATTTTAACTTGTCAGAACTGAGGGATGACCGTAAGGGAGAACCTGTGGAACTTCAGGGAGGAAAAAAATTCTGTAAAAAGGCAATGCTGTGCATTCTGAAAACAAAGCACTTGTTTTTGCTGAGTAATTTTAAGACTGTTTTCCATTATCTAACAGCATTTTTGCTTCTTGTTCAACTTATGTTGGCTAAAAGAGTGATTTTCCTGGCTAAAATGAGTTTTGTGTGCTATCAATGTGTTTTATTTGTTAGAACAGGGCAACAAACTTAGTGCTGTTAAATTGTTGGTAAGTTAGTCATTTAAACTTGAAAACAAAATGCAGAGTTCACTGAAACTGCTGGCCCTTGCAGTTGGTTGTCACAGAGCTTAGGACAATAAAGGAAAATAGTGAAAATGTTACTGTTACAACAAAGCTACTGGGGAAAAGGAGAAGGGGCCCTGCTATCCATGAGGGCAGTACTGTTCCCTGTCAGGGATTTTCATATTTTCCTAGTTGATTATTCTGGTTTGGACCAAATAATAGGCAAAGTGGTTTGAGAATG